CGGTAAGGACAACAGCGCGTGTTCGTTCCCCACTGCATACACCTGTGGTCCGGAGTTTTGCAAATATCTCAGCACTTCATACGAGTTAAATTTCATTAACATTTAACAGAAGATATTGACGCGTGCGCCCAAATACGGTAAACTGAGCTGCCGGTATGACTTCTATGTGAGTCATTTATTCTCCTTCTTATGCTTTATTTTGGACCACAAAACCCTTTTTCCTGTGCTTCCTATAGTCAATACATAGGATGACTATCACAGATATTGTGGGACGTTGGCAAGCAAAGCTCTGCTCCGAAAACAGAAATTTGTAAAGGAAACCTTTTTTCCGGATACGTTCATTAACTAGTGGTGTGTTAATAAGCTTCTTTGGATTGTTAAGCTTACACGCGGTTGTATGTCGTTTTTCACAGAGCAGAGCTGAAACGTCGTAAAGAATGAAAACGTCGAAACTTTAACAGAATTAAACTTGTATAACAACTTCGCCTAAGCTGGACAATCCACAGGAATTTATGGATTATCCATGGCGAGGTTAAGTGAAAGTAAGTTTAGTATAAAATTAACTATTATTCCATTTTAGTCAATATGATAGATCAGGGTTTCCGCATGGAATGTGCAGGTATAGAAAATGCCAAAATAGACAGAGCATAAGTTGCACGACAATTCCAAATACTAACAGGACCATGGTAACACAGAGTAAATAATAGCATACCATTCAAACCCATAGAATGATAGAGCAGAGCCTCCCATGATCACAACCGCTCAAATCCTCCAGTTTTTGAGAAAAAAGCATTTATTTGTGACTCAATCACAACGATGGTTTCGCTTTTTTCTCTCCTTCGTTTCGCCTGTCCCGGTGGAGGACCCACATAGTGTGGTGGTGAACGCGTTAGCCCCCGGAAAAGGTAACATCGCGTTCGTTCCCCACCGCATACACCTGCGGTCCGGAGTTTTGCAAATATCTCAACATTACATACGAGTCATATTTCGCAACATACCCTGCCATTAAGAACAAAAAGGCAGTAAATAAAAGGGTTAAGATTATCTCAGCATCGTTGTTGAGTAACACATAATACCATGCCATGAAAAATTGTAATAAGCAGTAAATAAAAAGTTAACATAACATTCATCATCAAGAAAACCAGCAAGTCTGTAAAGACTGAAAATTAGGCGTGATCGCGAACAGCAGTGCGTGTAAGCGCTGCGCGTCGCGAATGTGCCAGAAATCAGGCGCGTAAGTGCACAATGTCAACATTTATAAACGATTTCCGAAAAATTTTTCTTTCCTTCATAGAAAACGTTCGATTATCAAGCCACGTTATAACCTGTGTTAAAGAGAATGAGAACTTCCTAAGCAAATTATTGCTTACTTGACTGCTTGTAGATAGATAAAAACTGACTTTTGGAAAAATCACAGAAAATGCTTTATTTTCATCTACAAGACATTTCTCACCCTTTCGACTATTTTACCATTTCAGAGAGAAATCCGATAAGGAGATAGCTCGTCGTCTGCAACAGAAATTTGAAGAAGAGGAGAAAGAACGGCACGAGCAGCAAGTTCGAATTGATGCCGAACTAGCCAGGGCACTTGCTGATGACGAGGCCCGGAACACCGACTTCGCGAGGTGCATTCCAGTTGCTTTCGTCGCGGCGCTATTATCCTATGTTTCGGGCATCCGAAACATATTCCAACTCAAAACCTCTGCAAATCCTAGCATAATTTTTCGTTCTCGATCAGTATGATTGAATCTGAGCTCACTGATGGGCTCATTTTCTAGGAGAGGTACTAGTCGTCGTGCTACTTCGCTAATTATGGAACAGACAACCTTCCTAGCTAATATCATTTAGTTATGTCTAATTTGCTCTTTTTACGTAATTTAGTGAAAACAAAATCATATTCTTTAACTTTATAAAGTTTGGTGTCACTAGTCCGAAATCCAGGACCACTTTTCCTCTGCAACTTCACAATTATTCTACACCTACATTTAGCACTTTTGAACACCCATCAGATAACTACGAATCTTCTAAAGAATGTCCCTTCTCGTCGGTGAGTGATTAATGAGATTTCCTACCTTAAAGGGAAAGTTTTTTCACTCAAATTATCTATTTTAGGGCACAAGTTCTCTCTGATACACTCCATGTCAACGCTAATGATAACCCCAGAGGTAGCTGTATTCCTTTACCCCATTCAGACCAATGAATTACATGCTGATTTCTGCTACAGACAACAAATAGCGCTGTTGATTCCTAGATATTATATCACAGAATCCAAATAGGATGATTTCTAGAGCGCATCTCATCACAAGCGAACTTTTCGTGGGAAAATGGACGAACTTCAATTCTTCATTCAACTCAGCGAGAACGATCTAACAACGACGAATTGAGACCTCCTTACCAGAACGCTTGCGCAAGCTCTTCAAGTCAGCGACCACCCACGTACTCGGCAAGTGCTTCAGACACACAGTGCGCTGCTCTAGCATCGCTCCATCCGACCAACCCTTTTCTTGAAGACGTCATTGCCAGAGATCCAATCCGACCAGCATTGGAACTTACGCAAATAACCCAGTAAGTCGTTCTTTTCTCAAAAAGCGGTTAATCTCTTCCAACGAATAAACGCAAAGCACATCAAAGTTTAAGGATAACTTCAATATCTACAATAACACCGCTAGGATTTAGTAATAAACCTCTCCATTCTTCAGATAACCAATTTAAGTACCAAGTTGAGTACGAAGCTCTATATAAAATTACTAAAAGGCTATACACCTTAATAGCTATAGTCATAGTGGACTCAAGAAATTTCTGTAAAACTTCCTGTCATTTGCCAAACACCATTTCCATTACATATATATATATATATATATATATATATATATATGCGAAAAAAACTGCCACTGATTTTACAACTATTTCTGTAAAAAAGAATAAAGCTCTCAGCGTTGATCAATACCTGAGGGATGCGCCATGCATTCGACTTCATTAAGTATCGTTGGATGTGATTGAATTCATATCTGGCCTTTACAATGACTCGCGGTGGCCTACCGATATATTGACTCAGTGCTGCTATCCTTCCAGACAAGTCTGGTACCAATCTGCCGAACCCGGAGGGATGGAAGGCTCGGTGGGTCATGGGTGAGTGATCGATTCCGCGTGTGTGTTGCAGGTTGCTCCCGACCACTGCGCCACACGCGCGCTTAAGAACCACTTACATTATATATATATATGTATGTATATATATACTATATACTATGTAGCAATCGGTTGTCACGTGGACTCAAAAAGAAAACAGGAGACCGTCAGGACTTTTTGTTTGCAGAAAAATTATAACACCTACAATTTGTGGAATGTTTCTTAACTTTCTTTCAGTTCCGAGTTCGGCTTACCTTCGCCGTCCGATTTGACCTTGGGAAGGCGACAGTAGAATCTCAATCGTCATACACTCACAAAGTAAAACGAGATCGTTGAACAACAGTACGTGCATCCATGTTTACAAGATTTTTAAACTGAAGAGATCAATACATAAGCAACAATAAATTGTAACAATCAAAGGCCAATGTAACAACAAATGCACCCGAAGAAAAAAGTATAGCTCGGAGATATGGTAAATTATACATGTTTGTACATGATGTCTGCTCAAACGGATTAAAATCGTAAATATAACAAGGATAACGACAAGTTTGGGGTTAAATATGGTAAAAATGGATAGTTAAACCATCTTGAATGGAAAAGTATTAAGGCGTTGAATTACAAGCGAGAGAAAGCTATTAGGTGATTTTAGACTAAATATCGATGTAACCTAACATATCACAAAATCGTGTAGAAGACACGCATAGAAAGCGAAATATCATGGGATGGCTGATGAATATGTACAGTTCGGAAATATTAATAATATGCAACAGCAGCGGTACACATGTAGTCTCTTGACTAGAACAATCGGTGATAAACTTGCAATACTGAGGCGTTCAGAAGCAAAATTTGAGTTAGCCATTAATGTCTGTTGGCGATGCGTTCACAACTAGCTGGCCTCGAACCCATGTCGCCGACGACGAATTTTCAGATGCTACCTTCCTTTGCAATTCATCGTTCTCTTTCAGATTTTTTATAAGAGCCCGAACCTATGAAGAATAAAACGAATAATGGTAAGAAATTTTGCTCCTAAGAGATACGAGTGCAAGACCGATGAAGACTTTTTGTCAAAAAGAAAAAAAGAATGAACGGTTACCTCATCCGGATAATAACTCTTGAAAACGTCTTCATCTGCACACCATTCCACCGCTTTATATGTATGAAGTAGTAACTGGAAATTTATAAATCCGGCTTAATAAAAGTTACTGGAGGAAAAAAACGTATACCAAGGGAAAGCGTGTTGTGAAATATAGAACGAATTGGTCTGGAATGCGACCCAAAGAATCTTGAACGTTCTCGGGAAGTTCCCGATAATGATGTTTTTTATTGCGCATTGCGCGCAAAAGATCTCTAACTGAATGTCCTTTATATGTTCGAAATTTTCTCAAATCTGAAATATGAGACAATAATAGAGGAATTTCAGTTAAGCTGAAAAAATTGACCTGTTGCCAGAGGATCACAAATGCTGTTCCTCCAGTTCCCTCCAATGACAGCAAGAGCATTACCCTCCAATCTTCGAACAATAGTGCTTGAGTCCTCTTCTTTTTCAATTCTATCAGAAACGTCCTGAAAATGCAATCAATGTGCAGAATATGTAAAACCAAATTATCTGGTAGCACCGGAATGCATCGATGAGACCTCTATTCGGAAATGTCGCAGTTAGAGCTGGAATCCGTGCTCCACTAACTCGAAAGAAACAAATAGTCCTTTATTCCACACTACCACGAGTGAGATCCCCTCTTTTTAATGCTCTCTTCAAGTGCGAAAGGGCAACCATGGATATCACGCCTCAGTATGCCGCCATTACACAGTACCAAGCGGTAATACAGTAAAGGATAAAAATAAAGGATAGTGCTCTTGGCGCTGATCAATCCCTGAGAGATGCGCCATGCATTCGACTTCATAAGAATCGTTGGAGGTGACTGAATGCATATCTGGCTTTACATATCGCAGTGGCGTACCGATGTATCACGTCAGTGCTACTATCCCCCCAGACAAGTCCGGTACCAATTTGCCCGTCCCCGATCCCATGTGTATGCAGGGCGCCTTCGACCACTGCGCAACACGCGCCCGGTAATATAATAAAGACACAAAGCTAAAAGATAAAACATGTCTCGCTTCTTCGTAGTGGACTCGGAGAGTACTTGATTGATAGTGAACGCTCTCGTGAAAAAAGAACGCATTGAATGGCGCTCAAGAGCTCACATCTCTAGTGATTTTATTTGCAATAAGAATATCGTGAAGAACATTTATGAAGATAGTTAAACTTGAATTTCTCTCACTATGCATGAAGCCAAATACTCATTAAAGTACGACTTTCACTTGATGATTGGGTCTTACTTCAAGTAGTGAGTGCAAGGATCACTCCCAAACCGTTATAAACTACAGTGTGAAATACTTTGTAATAGAAACAAAACAATGGCATAATAAAACATACCCCAAAGAACTGTAGTCGTCGTTCACCTTCCCAAAAAAAGGGATGAGCTAACACGCAGTGAATGGATGGTCGAGTCTCCGGTACTCTCTGGATCATGCTCTCGATCAATGCTGTTGCAACAGGAACATCTGCATGTTGAAAAAAACTTTTATTTTATTATGAATACCAGCAGAAGAAGGACTTAAGAGAAATATACCTTTTTTGATGCCGCTAAAGGCGTACTGTCCGTTAACAATGTTTGTTTGGCGGTGCAAACTATCCCCAAATGGATGATTTCCATCTGATAGTACATAGTAGAAAATACAGCCGAGTGAAAAGATATCAACTGGGAAGCTCTGAAGCAGAGTCAACAACACCTACTGGTGTAAAACGGTATCTACAGAGTCTTACATTCCTCTTGTTCAGGAAACTTCAAAGACATACTGTACTTTCGGAAGTTAACATTTCAGGCGCGATCCAACCATCGGTACCCGCAAGTCCACTTCTTCTTGAAAGAGAATGGCGACCCGGCTGAACTCGTTTACAAAGTCCAAAATCGGAAATAACTGCACGAACACCACGAGCTCCTGCCGTAGACAACAAAACATTCTGCGGCTTCATATCTCGATGGACTGAAACAGTTTTCTTATGGAATAAAAAACGTTTGCTTCATCACCAAAACAATAATGAAAGTATATAACACACCTATCTGCATAACATGCAGGTGGGCCAGACCTTCAGTCGCTTGTCGAAGGAGCTCTGTTGGAACGACAGAGATCTATAATACTAAGTTAACGTGCTACCTATTAGCTGACACATCTGTTGTTAGTACAATATTTATTTCATGGTGCATACAAAATAGTGAGCGGTTTCAAGTTTAAACCAAAACATCACAGCTCACAACAAACTTTATTCAGTGAACTAAAAACAGTTTGAATCTATGACTTTGCCAATCAGTCGCAAACTGTTCAATTCTACCAATATAAGATTCCAATCTTCTCCTCACCAAACACATTTTTCCACCTTTTTCCGTTGAGGCTCATATTTCAAAGACCAAAACAGTAGCCACGTCCGAAACTACAATTCCAGTTTTGTCTACGACCTTGGGAAAATTTAGTAAAGCGTAAAGTTTTTTTCAAGCGTTCGTGGAGTTCTAAATTCCTCAACTACTCCAGTGCTTAAGAAATTATCAGCTGTTACTAAAAAAACCAACAACACGGCTGCGAATGTGTTAACCGCCGCTAACTCAGGAGATGTTTTTGCAATCTCAACATAAAACTAAAAACCCAGGTTTCAACTGTGTTAAACAGCTTTATAAACAATGATCGCATTGCTATTCTCTACATGGATGAGACCAACGTGACAGTGTTAACACGGGGATGACGCAATAGGCTGGTGTTGGGCAGAAATTGAAGAATCAATCTGAGCTATGTTCTTAAGTCACGCGTTATTTTAGGCTCTAGTCCCTTCGATAAGACTGCGAATGGCAGCAAGTCTTCACATCGTCTTCATGTTTTTCTCGATTTTGATCCACTTCTCCACTGTAGCTATATTTACAACTGCTTTGACCTCTGCTCCACACAGCAGGAAATGAACAACTGCTGTCAAATGACGAGAATACACACAGAACACTTAAAATCCGTTCGAGAGCAACTAAAATAAAGCCGGCTTCAATTACTGAACTTTTTTGAGTACACCATTTCATGAACAGTTGGGAAAAAGTGCCCGAAACCGTATAACACTCTATGCTTCGACATTGTACACAGAGATGTTTATGAAAAGTATATTTCCAATGGCTGCCAAGCTGTGTACAAGAGAGGGAAAGATGCAATCGCTCAACTTGTATACTAGGATACTTGGACGGCCCGTACTTGGATAGGATAATCAGATGTTGTAATCTTCTTCTTATAAACTGATCTTCTTAAGCTGACGCGAGGTTGTGCAGCCCAGCATATTCTTCATTTTTCGGAGTTTTGCTGGTTTCACCATTGTGTTTCCCTGGAGTCCCGAGGTCAGCCTGGGCAAAGTTGCTTCGTCACCATCACAGGCAGTCGCAGCCCTTGTGAATCAGAGGAAGACTTGCCACCATGCGACTAGTTTAATACCAGGACGGTGGTGGTATGGTTTACTTTTAACTGGGCTTCCTGACGGAAACGCCTGACTCTTTCTCAGCATGGGAAACCCTACCGGAAGGACGAACCCCCTGCTGTAGATGGCAGCCCGACACCCAGGAAACACCTCCCAGCCACGATGAGGCGGTAAAACGCTGAGAAGAATCACTCAACTTGGCGCAGCAAATGCTAAGCGTGTCTCAACGGCGAGCTTTAGAGTGAATTCTCCATTCCTGTTCTAGGATTAGGTAGGCCTCTTTAGTCATACTCTGTGATCTCAGTGCTGGTCGTCTCACCTTTATAGAACCACAATGCCGCGGACGTTTAAAAATGCAATTTACTTGATTGAAATCCAGCTTTCGAATTTCCGATGAGGATATTAAAGTGTTTCTGCCAGTTAGGTGCATATCAATATGCCTCGCTCTAGGTTTCGAAGAAAGTGAAGTGCACCGAAATACTAGCGGCTGTGAAACAAACGTTGTAACAGGACCTTATAACACAGCAAAATATTGATGTTGAGATTAATCGATAGTCGATATTTTGAATTCCATGAGAATAACTAAGAAACAACAAAACAAAGCAAACGCATTGCTAATAAAGATCTTACCTTCTTGCGCACGGTTTCTTCATGTACGTAGTCGTTAAGAGATGCCAAGCACAATTCCAAAGCCAGATAACGGAACTGACTATCCGACTCCTACAAAACACCCTCAATCTGCGTCAAAAGAAACATTCCATGAACGTATAACATGACGTTACGTATTCCCTTCACCGGTTGACGTTAAGCGAGCAATACTTCTACTATCTGCTTTGTTATATAACACCCACACCGGAAAATGTTTGAACAGACAGCGCTTTCGAAATTGTAACTATGACAAGCACAAAGCCTACGCAAGAAATGCGTCGTTTTCTTGTTCAGAAGTCGCGAGATTGTCATACAGATACATTTACTTCCATGCAAAAACACACAATACAACAGTAGCTGACGTTTCGGCAGTATTACCTTCGGATATGCGACTATAATCAGATGTTGTAATCTTCTTCTTATAAACTGATCTTCTTAAGCTGACGCGAGGTTGGTACAGATCTTCGTTGTCAACGACGACGAAGATCTGTTCCAACCCCGTGTCAGCTTAAGAACAGTTTATAAGATAACATAAATAAATATATCAACTATCTATGCCGAGGTTTATAGAAAGTCGGTCTTTCGAGTGTAATCGTCTTCATTGGAAATCACGTAACAAAGCGGCTCTGAAGAAGGCAATACTGCCGAAACGTTAGCTACTGTTGTATTGTGTGTTTTTGCATGGAAGTAAATGTATCTGTATGACAACCTCGCGATTGCTGCACAAGAAAAGGGACGCATTTATAATCCAATACCAAGGTTAACAGAAAGTCGATCCTGGGAACTGTTACAAGATATGCCTACGCGATATGTGCAGCAAGACATACCATGCAAAAGTACCGAATAACGTGTGGATGTGTATCGCTCTCACGGAGAAGATCAGCTTCTCGATCAACAAGTTTCACGAATTCCGAGATCACACGTTTTACAGCCACATCGCGGCCATCAAATTTCCCCCTTCAAACATTCAATACACTCTTAGAATGAAAACACGGAGCTTCCAACTACCTATATACAACAGTGCCCTCACAGCCACGACCGAGTATTTCCGATGGGTTATATAGTAGTTTCCCAACACTCATCCAACCGTCTGGTACCTAAACAGTATAAAAATCTGCGTCTAACTTCTAACCGTCTAACGATATTTAATTATCGGAGGTTATCTCACAACTCCACTTCATCAAGTTTCTTTTAATTCGATATCCTCTTCATCAGGTCCTTTTACTAAAGTGTTCTCAGCAGTTATAGATTTGGGTAACTTTTGAAATAAGTCGTCCAACCAACGACGAATCTATTCTGAAAGCTCTAACATACGCGAAACTTGTCGCGCTGAGAATTCACACTTGTTCAGTGAAATACTATTATCCTAAAATAACTATCAACTCTAACCTATCTCTTAACTTTGAAAAGTCTTAAAAAATGACATCCAAAATGTTCCACACTGGGAAACAGCTCAAATACAATAAATGACTCGAGTTACCTTTAAAAACACCTAAGGTGTTCCATTTTTAGACATCACGAAAAACTAGGTAAAGCAGAAAATAAGCCTTCGAATACTAACCTTTTCGTTCTTAACAAACACCCACTTCGTACCAGACTGATGTGACGTTTGCACACTCCGACCATGATTGTTAATCGACGCGACACCTGACTATAAAAAGAAATATAATATTCTTGTGTCGTTTTCTTGTTCAGCAATCGCGAGGTTTTTAAACAGCATACATTTACTTCCATAGAGAAACACAATACAATACAACAGTAGCTGACGTATCGGCAGTATCGCCTTCTTCAGAGCCGCTTTTTTGGTTGAGGCAGTCGTCAACCACATGCGACTATAATCAGCTGTTCTAAACTTCCTCATTGGAAGTCACGAAAAAGCGGCTCTGAAGAAAGCGATACTGCCGATACGTCAGCTACTGTTGTATTGTATTGTGTTTCTCTATGGAAGTAAATGTATGCTGTTTAAAAACCTCGCGATTGCTGAACAAGAAAACGACACATTCATATTCCAATGCCGAGGTTAAGAGAAAGTCGATCTTGGGAACTATAATATTCTTGTTATAACAATACTATTAGAAGCGGATAGCACAATGGTAAGGAAGCCGATCATCAAAAGCACAGTGGTGGTTCGATCACGCCCGAGGCCCATCAAACCTGCTATCTTTCCGAGGTTGGGAAATTGGTACCCGACTTGTCCAGGGAAAAAGCCATTCCCTGCAATCCAATCGGGAACTCTCCAACTCGGCTACTTTGGGATACTAGGGAGAATCTACTCAACCAGCATTCTACGACATTCAAGATGGAATAAGAATCCACAAGCAGCAGCCGAAGCCACACGTGAAGGTTGAAGAACCTTCGTAGATGAATGATGAATACGAGGAAACGAATCGAATAAGAGAAGTGCTGGGATCCGCACAGTAGACGTGAAGACGGGTCGTATAAAATAATGTAAAAAGGACCATATTATTATACAGAACAGGATTCTCATATAACGAATATGCTCAGTGGAGTCATCAACATGGGTGCTTTATGTGTCTTACCGCGGAAAATCGCTCAATAACACCGACATAGCCCTCGTGCTCACAAGTGCATAAAATCACTGAGCGCATAGCTATTCCGAAAGAAGCAACAGACCCACAACTTCATCCTTTTTGTTAGGAAGGTAAGGTATCACAAATAGTTTTGTCAATTATCAAGTGGCTTAGAGATCATCAGTAAATCCCAACCCCTTCCTGTTACGCACCGCGACGCCAAGTTATCAGAACTCGTGTCGCTCGATTGACGCAATGGTCTCATATTTTTTGAATCCTTATTAATTTTCTCGCAAAGAAGTAGGTAATGGAGGCTTGCAGCAGCATCTCGGAGTAGAAGGGAAAATTAGACGAGTTACGAGCTTTGGCTTGATCGATGAGCAACAGTCAACCTGAATACACACAAGATGACCTGCAGATTTATCATGAATGTAATTTCATGTAAACGGAACCCGTAGCGAAGATTGCGAGCCCCTTCCTCCAGTTCATTTGCGTCTCATCGCCAGTACACAGACAATCTTTGCGCTCGTGTTTAAGGACTTGTTCTCTATCTAGAAATCGGCTCGAGATTTCACACATGGGCAAGATCAGTGGATTATTAAAAAAGGTGAAATTTCAAGACAGTTGAAATATATTTTGCGAGATTTTCCTTCACACCCTAATCACTACAACAAAACAATAATTAGCATGCTCGCGACCGTATTGGTTTTTCAACGACTACTTACTATTTCCCGGTTCGCTCCGTTGCTTTAAGGATATTTACAAATTTATACAAAGTCCTCTCAATTTTGGCTCTACTTAAAGTTGCAACTTCAAAAAAAAGCTGAAATATTAGTGGATTATTAAAAGCTGAGCTGGATTATTACAGTACCCAACGCGAGCGCTGCAGATGGTGCTATGGGAAACGTCATAGGGTACTGTTGAATGAAATTATGATTGCCTCATTTTTATACGGTGACCTTCCAAACACAGATCTCGAAGTAAAAATAGCGGAAAATTAAATATTTTAAACTACAGAAAATCACAACTTTATCATAGTCGAATAAAAAAGCTCATGTCTAGTTGGCAAAGACCTGGATATTCAAACCGTTCTGATATCAAAGACTAAATTTTTAATATTAGCCAAGATATTTCGGTTTAAGGTTGAAACCGGTCACTATTTTCGCATCGCATGAGCCACAGATTCATAATGACTACTTTTGTGTTGAATAAACATAGTGAAGAATTTAAATATGAAAACGTGAGTTGAGTAACTTTTTTGACCTTTTTTTTTTACAAAAAACATAAACGGACAGCTATGCCTTTCCTTTCATCCTGATTCGTATTACAAATAGGGTACTCGAAAAAACAAATTTTTGTGCTATTTTCGTCGTTCCAGACCGAGACACACGAGAATTGTTGCTACGGGGTAACTAGACATGTGATGTCATTCATACCGCACATCAATCGCATAGCGTTGGTAACAATTGTTCAATTCGCGATAGAAACACGATAGGTCGTCGGCAATCGCCATACAACATGACATGAAATTTGTTGGAGATCGTAAACTCGAAATGCAGAGGTAGGATTTTTCTGAAGCTACGAACCCAAACATTTTCGGCTTACGAAAAGATCTGTCGATAAGCAGTAGCCGGAATATTCAAACACAGAATGTGTCAAGGTACCAAAGGACATTGAGCGTTGGATGAGATTTGAGAAGTTCTGTATTTAAAGAGTAAACCCACCAGTACCGCGCCTATTGAAAAATTATCGGCAGTTGTCAAGAAGGCAAAAAAGTGTTAGATTGTCCTGAATGCCCTCGTAATTTATTAAGTATGTAATCAACAACCAAATTCTTTACACTGAGCACTTTTACTTGGACGCATCCCAAATATGAACAGATAGATTGGAATTTAATCTTTATACAGACTTGACAATAGATACGCCGCAGAGCCACAGATAACTCAGCGCTACATTCTTCACTAAAGAATTTGCCACTAATTTTGTTACTAGTAATGGATAAAGAGAAGTTCTCGGCGTTGATCAATCCCTGAGAAATGCGCCATGCACTCGACTTCATTACGCATCGTTGGAGCTAATTAAATGCATATTTGGCCTTTACAATGACTCATATTTTGGAATGTTAGAGTACCACAGATTTCCTAAATTTCCTCACCTGTTTGCCGCAGAACCATATCACGGTGATAAATAACGCAACGAGACTAAAAAAGAACGAATAGAGTGCTATTGGATGTCCTTGGTATATTTGAAATAGCATTTCAGGTACACGACTGCGTTCAATCGATGGCACAAATGTAGACAATACCTGAAAAAATCTTCACACCTTACAAAAAATAGTGTATTAGCCATTCAGTGAAAAATGTTCGAGTTGAATCGGAAGAGTCACGATTCCTTTACAAGAACCTAAGTTTATTAATCAAGAAGGAACATGTATGATTAGAAGTGCCTTTTTTCATCGTGTTAAAGTTCATAAACAAACATGTTTGAATTTCCGCCTCCGAGCTCCATGAATGGAGTTCTTCTAATTTGTAAGGTTCCAAGGTGCGTATTGAGCAGTGGTTGGAGCTGCTCTGGCATATACACATGCTCGTTGGTTCGATCCTTCGCCGCTGCCTCAGCGAGCCTTTCAACGCTCTAGGGACGAAAAACTGGTGTCAGGCATGTCTGGGAGGAGAGCAGCATTACCTCAAAACATTGCTAGTCCACCGCAAATTATTACATGGACCAGATACGCATTCAGTTACCACTAACGACCCTCGGTGAATCGAACGCATAAAGCAACCTTCAGGGAGTGATCAACGTCGAGAGCTTCATCTTCTTTTTAACTGATATCGACGATGACTCAGTTTCATATTTCACCTCAGCTTCTGGACCACCACTAGAGAAATCTAACACCTCATTCATTGATCCGATTTCCATGCAGTAGCTTCGTTGCTGCCAAAGTTTCATGCAAATTGGAAATGTGCCGATAGCGCACTGATCAATTTATCCAAACTTTGTCAAACCGTGTTCTTAAGGTACAAACTTGGCCCACTCATGTGTTGAAGTTCTTAAGTTTACAGTCATACATCGTAACGTCGTTTATTGTTGCACTACAGTTGGTGGTCATTACAAATATTAATTTGACCCAGAGTTGAGCATGACTAGCCCAGCAGGCACTGATGATATTCAACACCCGCAAGTCCTGTGGTTAGACCTCCTCGCTCATGCCAAGCAAGATTATTCTTCCGGGATCGAAAAATTTGTATAAGAGTTCTCTAGCAACGCCTCGTTCCCTCCTATCCAGAAAAGCTGGCGACTACTCATGTGAATCGATTCGGTCCATAATGAAAATCAAAGAACTTCAGGTTGCATCCTAACACACACGCAAAACCTGGTAACCTTCACGAGATGTGGGTGCTAGGTGGCGGATCGAATGCAAAAAAGTGCTGACATTCGCATATGTGACGCCAGGTCGTATAGAACAAAATCGACCTAAAAACAATTCCAAATAAAGAAGAAGTTGTAGATGTCTAGCAGCCCAGTTTCCGCCTCTGCTGAAATTATGTACAATCGACTTTCCTAGTTCTAGGACTTTTCCGAGAAGCGTGGGTCTCTTTCAAACAATGTGTTCAGTTCTTCGGTCGTCTATCATAATCTTGGGCTATCCGCAGCAAGGCGTTCGCCTCAAGATTTCAACTTGTGTAATCAACATTAACGGATTTTTTGTTTACGAAACTGTCACTAAACGCGGCACGTTTCGAACAGCGAACATCGTCCAGTATGGAATTAATACAAAAAATATTTAAAGATGTCATTGGTTCACGTAGAAAACGTTGATAAACATACATTTTAGGAGAAGGATACCTAGCAAAATGTTAAAACGCAATAAAGAGCAATTTGTGAAGTTCAAAATATGCAAAAGACTAGAAATGAGTGATCAAAATTCTGAAATTTTCATATAACAAAGTCGAACACTGCATAGTGAACAACCTATTAAAGCACAAATGAATTTCATCTAACACGTTAGGAATCGCCCGAATGAAGTAACAACTGTTCAAATTTCTCAGTAAACAGGTTTATAATACCACAAGTCTGAGATGAAATCTCCATTATTCTTATTAATAGAAAAATAATGATAAAATCAGTGTTAACTGTTAACTAAAGTCTGTGCTTTTGGAATGACCACAAAGCACTGTACGACTCTAAAAAATATGCTTTGAGAGTTACCTCTCCAATATATCCTTGCTCCTGCTTATAATCTATGTGAGGAAACGAGGGCGAATTTGTGAATCGCATGGGAATAATCGCTCCTAAGTCCACTGCTGGCTTTTCATGATATCCTGAAGAATACTAACATCATTATTTTAGGCCAGAAATTATTCTGGAGTCAAGTAAGACGCCTTATAAGAAAAGACTTTGCAACGCTGTTGTTTGATGCAAAATAATAATTTTCTTCTACAAATGTAGACATTGCTACATCAAGGATTTTAACGCTTCATTACGCATTAATAAAGAAGCATCACCATTCTACTGGAAGGTTAAAGTGTTTTGGTAAACTTCATTTATTACATCAAAGATTTGAACGAATCATTACGCATTAGTAAAGAAGCATTAACATTCTGTTGCGAGGTCATATTTTGGCAAACTACTTCGTTTTTCACTTTTTCTGCTATTTGACCCCCTCAATTCATGGACATAACTAACAGCAAAAGCCTGGGTAATTAAATTAATTATTTATCCTTTTATCCTTACCTAACAGCAAAAATTCGCCGTCTGTAGTTTTGTGAGTGATGGCAGGAACGTCAATAGTAATCACAGGTCTAGATGGTGGAATGAACTTCGATTTTTCAACGTCCTGAGATAGAAAGAAGAAAAAACTTCCGGCAGAAAGATTAAAAAGTGCAATGAGAGCAAGTTGACTAATCAGAATAAAAACAGTTCCCAATTCATATTGTTGATTATAAAAGTAGGTCAATTTGCCACATGAGAGGAGATCGAATCACAGTTTCTGCTTAGGACTTCATTTACTTAGAACAGAACCCAGAAGTTGAAACACAAGCACTCTTATCTCCAAATCTTACTAAGCAAAATTGAAGACAGGGATATCGAAATTACACCACATTCAATAAAAATGCGGAACGTCATAAAAGTACGATTTTCGATGTTGTAGATTCATTCTTAGCTGGTTTTTCCATTTTTTTTATATTTCATACTTAAAAGAAATACAAATTCAGATGCTTCGAACTGCACAGTCAGCACATGACAATACCATATTGGGATTTCAAGCACAAGTATTAATCAGGATGTCCATGGCTCATATGAAACCTTTGAAATACAAATGATAACGTTTCAAAAAAACGATTCTCACCGATAAAGCGATTGGACTTGGTCCTTCTAGCAGTGGAGGACCTAGGTATTTCGGTGCGTAAGTAATCGTATGCTTATCCACTAGGACGTCCATTGCGAAAAGTCCAAATGTTGATTCTCCCACGTAGAGAGTGGGGAACAACGCGTACTGAGAAGTGGTCTTCGGTGGTGCTTCGAAATCACCCAGTATATCATCTTTACCACCTGGCGTCAGCACACTCTACAAAACTGTTTTCTATTACCATTGGCATTTGATATTGTAATAAGAGTACAACAAATAGAACAGCACAGCAGAGAAGTCATAACTTGGCAAATGCGGTTCGAAAAGCACAAGTCAGTTAAATGCGTGCTGTTTTTAAGATGATAGGTAACGACACGTGTGTTTCGTAACAGAGTGTAATAAGAGATTTGAGCCGAGAGCGTCGGGTTGGTCGTGAATTAGGCAATTCTTAGCGGCCACCAAGTGCATTAAAATTTCCAGATGGAATTTTTTACCACCTCAAACCTTTTGAGAAAAGCTCCACTGGCTAAAGCATTAACAAGAATCGATGTCTCAGATTAAAATTTTTTGTTTTTATGATTATCACAGTCCATCCTCGTTGCACAGCAGGCGCCTCTCCTCCCGCTAGCTGCCTCAGCCCGCAACTTATTTCTGTCTATCCCCACCTGCACAGCTAGCTATCTTATTGGTAATTCATTCAATACATAAACATATCTCATCTCTAGTAAATTGTGGAGACTTTCTACATAACTTTCATGGATTGGTAGCCCCACTGTTCTGTATTCAGCTATATATTAGCATATTCGAAATATCGCCGATAACAGAATCGATCTGACACGAAGTAAACGAAAGCGACCTCTGAAATCGATAAAAACCAAAAGTTATGCTGTCAACTCCTTCGAGAAATTGAATATACGGCTGTGTCAAACACATTTTTCACGCAAGCTTTTCCCAGCAATGGATGTTAACGAGGAGTCCTACCTGCCATCACAACAGATTCGAAGCCTATCGCAAGAGCACTCAAGTGCTGACACTCACAAATCCTCATTTGCTGGCAATCGACAGACCTCTGATGACAGTAAGAATATCAGATTTGTGGATAGGGATTTCATAGAACATCAGCACTTATTCGATACCCGAAACAAGAAGTGGCAGAATGTACGACGAAGGATGTCGTTAAAACCAGCTATAGGTACGTTGTCAGCTTAAAGCTCGAGACTGGTTATGGATTTGCTTTTTTTCCTTTTTGTAGCTGACTACCACTACGTTGGAAGGGTTGTATTTCTAACCTACAGAACTATCAAAAAACCCAATCGAAGCTCAAAGTAATGTCGGCAAACCACTAAAGTTTGATGACTGGATATCGATTGACCTGCAAATAGGTTTACCACATTTTTAAGCTAACAGCCTAAGCATGGTGATGACACGCTGACCTTTACAGCAGCCTCTTATGATTTCCACAGCTTCTAGCGTTTCACATACACTTGATTTCTCAACCATTCAGAATCAGTACTTCTAAAGTAGCTAAAATCACCGTTACATCCTCCGAATACAACGCCAAGTGCGAATAGAGTCAAACTAATGATGCAGCCTGATACAATCGCTTTGACAGGTTTTCAAAAGTTCAAGTAATGCCAGTTGTTATTCTCTCTCCTGCTATCAACCGTATGTCATTTCATTGAAAGCCTTCCTTCCAGGTCTTACAAAAATACGGGTAGCAGGGCATCTGAACTATAAAGAAATTCGGCACCGATTCGAGCGACAAAGCACTTTCCATGGAATTAGTCATGCTGCTCTTGCTCCAAACTCAAGGTGGCGATGTTTCTGGTACACTGCCTTCTGGTTCTGCTTCTTCTGTTTGGCCATACAAATATTCTTCCTTGTTGTGAAATATCTACAATATGCAAAGACTGTTGATCTCGATGTAAGTCCTTTCACGTCATGTAGTTCATAATGGATCATTGTAATTCAAACAGATGCTTTAAATACCATAGGAACGCTAGGGAGAAAAACTGTCTTCGAAAGTTAAAAATGTATAAGCAAGCAGGCATCTAGAACTCTATTCAGGTGGACTGGACAACTTAAAGGGTTTGCGACGATATGCAAACACGAAAAAATAAAGAAATTTGGGAACTCTCTCAAGAACTCAGTTTTCATCGTTTAATGGCTAATAGTTCTTGTTAAACAAAATCCTATTCATTCGGTGTTGCTGATCTGGAAGAAAACCCAGCGATGTATGTATGCATACATATATATATGCATACATATACATATGTAGATATATGTATATAGTTACGCGTGCATGTGTACATATGCACACATGTGTACATGTATGTGTATGTATATATACATATATATATGTACATGTATACATATATCGCACATTCCAATCCAACTAACTGCGATGTTTTCCTCCAAGAATTCTGAGCAATTTTACTTATAACAAAACCATAATTTTTCGTCTTCTTTGTGACAACCTAGAGATTATAGGAGTTAACGGTGAAAATTCACCAATAACGATAGGAAGCTTTAGAAATTCATCTCAAATTAAATCCTTATTGCATTAGAGATTGCTCCTAACATGTCTGTTTTCCTTTTCTATGGGCAACTAATTAGGAAGTTAATGACCTGAGTTTTTCTCTAGTAGAATCATTAAGCCTTATAACGCTATAAACAAAGTGAAGTAAAGATAAATTTCATTCGTTACACTTATCTTTTTGAAGACCAATCTCTAGAAATGTATAAGCGATGATGTTCCTCATTTCAGTTGAAATTTGAAAATGCTCCATTCCCTTCTATCACTCTGTGCAATTTGAACCCTTATAAAAAAAGTGCGATCAATCTTAATCCGGAGACGAAGTCAATGGTGAGTTCCACATTGTAGTAAAAACTTGGAAAGATGTCTAATCATAAATTGTCATTTTATAGCTCGATGCGTACTCTAAACGAATCTCTTCCGGAGATAAATTAGAAGGTGTAGCTGCTGCATTAGCTTCTCATTTGCATTCACGAGGTATTGATTCTCTTTTCCTCACTTTATTTCAAAATCTTCCAGAGAAACTTCTCAATTTCTTGTTCTTACACATCCCTTGCATTCATAATTAAAATTTAAACCACTGATTAAAACTGATGCACTAAAAACTTAAGAATTCACTGACTCATGTTCAAATATGGGTTATCTCCTCGTAGAGCAAATGGCGCAGGGTTCTCATAGCTGCAGAAGTCCTAAACTGACTGAAAACTTCCGGTATAATTGACAGACTTCCTGGATTTGGAAAATTTTCAGTGATTTTCTTTGATGGACTGAGAAAAATCACACTCAACCTTCAATTCGAAAACTTCGAACCTTACATCACTGAAGCTTCGAAAAGACCTCAAACCCCTTTCCAAAAATTTCAACTTCAAAAAATTTGGAAAAGAATCAAACTTCAGCTTGCTTTATGTCACTATCGATACCAAAATTCCTATCATATATGCTTCTTTAACTAAGGTCTAGAACCGCTGGGCAGCTTTGATTTGAAAGGTTCCAGTAATAATTCACAAATTCCGATAACATGTGGTGGCCAAGCAATTTCCCACTAGCGAATGGTTTTCGCTGCATTCCAGGCTGACGATAACACCATTTACACTCCACCCCGAATAAATAAATTATTTTCAGTGCTCACAATGCTTCTCGTTAAAAAATATTCGGCACTTCCATGAAATCTCGAAACCACTACATAATAGGACCTTAAATTCAAATTCGTGTCCTTTCACAGGAGAGCACGGATGCTACTGACCCATACCTTAACACATCCACTGTACTATATTACATTATTTCCTAGACAAAGATAACAATTCGAATAGTTGAAATGACTTTGCCCTCATTCTATCGACGTTGTCACAGTCTCAAAAGCGATAGTTTTGATGCCTATCAATCGATAATTTGACGAACTCATAATAAAGACAACTGTTTCACGGTTTTTCTTGGCAAGTGCTGTCAATGGTTGTCAATTGCGAGAGATTGGTGTGCACGAGAATCATGATAAGTTATTAGTTAGCAACGTTTGCCTTAAATAGCAAATTACCGTAATGGTTCCTAACAAGACAAAGGACACAATGGACCTGTATCTCTAACTAGATTAGGATAGGATGTAGTCCGGTCGGTGGTGATATAGATCAATTACAACTAGGATAGAACGTTTTTCCGAGCCATGGTTTAGTGTTAAACTCTTATTAGACCTTCCTTACCATCTATTACAGGCGAAAAACTGAACGAAGTAAAAATACCACATTCTCAACAGATCTTCAAGCCCATTTCATTCCTACGTACAGAGTAGAAAATACACAAACTGACGAAATCAAACTTGAAACAAACTAATTCGTTGTAACAGTTTCCTATTGACTAGCATTCCTATTTAACTATGTTCTCACCAAAAAAGTAAAACCGATGCTCAATCTACTCGTGAACAATAATCGAATTAGTAGGGGTCTTTGACCACGTCTTCATGTATTACACAACCACGAATTGCTTGTCCTTCAACTCCTTATCAGTTAAGCTATCACCTTCAGCAACTCAACGTAGTTCGGGAATAGCACGATATGAGTAGCAAATTACGACTAAGTAGATTTCTACTTCACCTACTACCTTACTGTCATACGTAACATAGTGCCAATTTAAAGCATATCTCATTTAGTTCGACGACAAAAACGTAAATCGAAGCGGCGGAAACATGACCGACGATACCATCAGGCTCTTGCACAATGTCTTTGTGACATTGATCCCCTCACTGCAGAACGAAAAGGTTCATGCTTCGCTGCCTACAAAGGGAAGATCTCTGTCGACGTCTTGTCCACACCACGAAGCCTCCACGCCTCGCGGTGCCTTTGCCAGCTTGACATGGTCTCCAAAACTCTTTGGCCATGTTTTCCACGTGAGTTTCCACTCAGACCAAATCTGTTCCGATATGTAGCACCAAAACGAGACCGTAACTACCGGGTTATGAACGGATGCGAATTGCTACACACGCTGAATACAAATATTTCTTCAAAGATACCTACGTTGAAACAAAAGGAAGCGCTTCTAACTTCATAGTAGCTTTACCATTTAAACGATGCATATTTCAGACAACACGTGGAAAGAAAAGCTGTGCTCAGAATGCGTGGACGGCACCGGTCACTGTCCAATGCGGTTTTACCGAGGGAAGGAACCTTACGAAAACATCAAAGATGAGGTTGATTTGTGTCTATGTCACAAAGAGTACAATCACTGCGTATCAAGTAGAGATGACGGTGTTATAATCGAAATTGATCCGAACGACGAACTTGACACTCTTAACATCACAGAACGTTATGCGTTCCAAGTGAAAAATAGAGAAAATTCTACCACGTCCACTACAACAGAGGCACCACAAGTGATGGAAGCACTTGGATACGAGGTAAAAAAAAATTATACAGCTTAAACAGAATCTTTCCTACCATATTCGCTTCTTCAGAACTTAACAGACGAAATTGCAATCGCCACACAAGCGCAACAAAACCTCATGTTTGCTGTCGGTTCGATGACACCAGAGCAAAAGGAAAACATGTCCCAGCAACTGGACGAATTCGTGCTCAAGTGCTCGTTTAATCAAAAGGATTGTGACATGAAGCAGTGAGCTCCGTGTTTTTCTTGCGCGAAATTTATACTAGTCTTCTGTCATGGTACTTGCAAACCATTTCTTCCGAACTCCGAATCTTCTGATTATTTGATCTTTCAAATATTGTTGACAACGTATCTATCAAACACAAGCAATTACATAAAAAATATTGCTATTATTTCTGTAAGTGCTACATGAGGTATAAGAAAATGTTCCCACTCCAGACAGAATCTGTCCTTAGAATAGCGTTACTGTTGTCGCTGCTTAAAACCGACTTAATTAATATTCTTTGGGAGGAGAGAGATCTTACTTAGGGACTTTACATTGTACTATGATAACACCTACGGAAACTGTTATACATTCAACCACCGCGGAGCTTCCTCACACAGAGCAGGGACGAATTACGGTAAGTCAATTTTGGCTACAATACCGACCAACCATCGCCTCATTAATGGAATTCAGGACTGCGAATTTTACTGTATGCGAACGTGAGTGAATATCTACCAACGTCGGAAGCTGTAGGGTTCCGAATAACAGTCCACGACAAGCACATCGTACCATTTCCGGACGCTTTCGGTTACAGTGCTCCTACAGGCTTCATGTCATCTTATGGAGTCAGAATGGTAAGCTATTTCAAAGTTCCCTTCAGAAAATAACAGAAGTGTATTAAAAGCAATGCAATAGAGGAAGTGTTCAATAATTCCAGAAACAATTCATTCGATTAGTTGCCCCACATGGACACTGTAAACAAGGCGGTGAAGACGATCCTAACTTTATCTACAAAGGATTCAACTACTCTGTTGAGGTGAGACACGCATACAATATAATTGCCATTTAAAATCACATCTCCCGCGCTATCTTTTACTTTCTTTTCAAGCTGTGGTATTGATTGTTGAGCAATTACTCGACCAGAAAAACTGCTGACCAAATTCTGAATATAAAATAGGCGAGACACAGCTGTACAGGCCTGCCATCGGAGCTGCGCACAAAAACTAATCATGGAAATGTGCCATTGCGGAGATCCAATGTTCCCGATACCGAATATCAATGGAATGGCTGCCTGTCGTGCAACTAATCTCGAACAGCGTGAATGCTTACGGAACGCCACACTTTACCTCGGTGAACTTTATTCGAAAGAGAAGCAAGGAGTACCCGGATGTTTTTGTCACCAACCATGCGAGTGGGTCTGCTTTTTTCATTGCAAATTTTATAAATGAAAATGCTTCAATGCGTGAAATTACTTCCTTAGAACTTCTATATTTCATTGCTTCGATAACCCATCTCAGCAGCTTATCATCACCAATGATGGAAACTGTGAGTACGCCAACGTAAAATCTATTCTGCCGGCAATTCGTTGGTTGGACAAAACTTTTTTCCCTGGAGTCTGGAAAAACGGATAGAACTTTCATAGGTTTCCACAATCACCTATTGACTGGGTGGAAATGCCGAACCTCATCTCAGCTTGGGATATCTTGCTAGAGGGATAAACCCCCGCTGTACATCGGTTTCGATACTTATGAATACCAACAGAAACGGTGAGATAGTAAATTATTGGACACAAACCGAAATATTTTTTATACACAAATTTAAAACAGTACGCTTTGAAAGAACACAAGAGACGCAAAAACAGTGCTATAAATAATTTAGATATCAAAAATATCATATACTAACCGCATAGTGTTATTTTGCAGACCAAAAAATTCCAGGGAAACAAACTATGAGGTAACGTATTCGGCTGCTAGGTGGCCATCTGGTTCTGCCAAAGTAATGGATTGCGAACCTGGAGATTTCATGTGTCTAGAAAAGTATCGTAAAAATGCTGCGATGATCCAGATCTTCTACGAAGAACTGAACTACGAAACTTTACAGGAGACTCCAGCTTATACAGTAAGTCTGTTATTTAAGTGATTTTGTTAGCACTTTCTACTGCTATTAGTTGCTCATCAAGATTATTTGATCACTACTATTTACACAGTATATGATTTATAATACTTAATGACATAATTACCACATTGTTAATAGTACATCGCCTCATCACAGAGGATGGTGATCATTGGTGTAGAAATATAATAAGCGGCACATCATTCACTGTGGTAAGGTCACCCGAGCAGGTAGACGATTAAATCTTGGGTTATGATAGATGCTATTCGTACTGAACTAAGAAAACATGGCAACGTCACGCAAAGGACACTTCTAGCTAACACAAGGCTGTCATCTCGGACGTTGAACCTCACCTCTCTAGAAGCTACAAAATACCCTTTACCAAATGCCAACGATGTAGACTTGGCCGTAAACATATCCGTTACCACGATCTCACATAGTAAGACCGTTTCTAGTCCCCACTTCAAACTCAAATCCATCTACAAGCTAGAAGAGAATCGCTCAAGAAGAAAACGATTAAAGGTGTGCGAAGAAAATATCCTAGATAGAATGCGTTCGAAATTTACTGATAAGGAAGAAAACACACGCGATCCACATCGACGAACCTTTTGTTACATGCTGCCAAAACCAAAAGCATATCGGGGTTCATCAATGAAGGAGTCTGGACTGCATTTCTCCACAACCAAGTTTTTTTCTAAAACAAAAAAAAAAAAGATGAAAGACCAGAAAATCCATCCAGTGCTCTGCTCCGCAGTGGTCTAATCCAAATGGACAAGCGCCGTTTAGCGTGACTCTCCGAATGAAATACAAGCAACAATTCATTGTTTTCCTTATGATACGGGACAGTTATTACAGCATTTGTTTACTCACTTTGGTTAACGACATAAGCTATACCTAAGCTAAGTAAACCACCTATATTTTTCGTTACATCCCTACATTAAACTAGTGAAGAACTAATTAAATCCACATCCAACATGCGCTTCCTTATTTGCTCATTCGAAGTCTAAACTAGATATTCGGAACTAAATATCACTAACGTGGGAGTAAAATATCAGTAAATCACCAGTAATAATAGACAGAAGAGATTTAGCACAATACATTTACCAAATTTAACCTATCTAGCTCACGAGTGTACTTGCTGATCTCGGTGGTTTGACTGGATTATGGATCGGGGCTTCTGTTGTGAGCCTACTCGAAATTTTCTCATTGATTGTGTTCGCTGCTCAAGCATATGTCAGAAAAAGAAAGGGATCAATGTAGGTGTCCTAGTATGTTTTTTTTACAACTAATTTCTACTTCTGTTGTACCACTTCTAGAAGGCCAATGGCTAAAGAACAAATCAAATGCATAATAGGAAGCTATATGATGAAATTACAGAGCATCATCATCGTTGTCTCAATTGGCGGTAAAAAAACTATCCAGAAATTCTCTGCACACACTTCACAAAACTAGCGTTAACAGGCTGTCTATACAAGATATGCGATCGCTGCACTCAAACCATTCATCACGATCAAAGCAGTCGATCATAATCGAGGATTTTCCACCGCCTATTCAAGTATGTTTCCTTTTATTAACATACACTCAACATCACCTACAAATTAATTCTAGTTTGGTACTGCAGGAGCAAACAGATGACGAATCGTCATCAGGAGAGACCACCGGAACCATATCAAGTTGCCGGTATCTTCCTCCAGGAGAAGAACTACCATGTCTTTGTAAGTACGACGCCGATGGAAATATTCGTGTGATGAAAGCACTTTGTCCAGTCCATGGATATATGGTTCGAAGAGGCTATGACTATAGGTAAATAGGTTCTATTCGAATAAACAATTCAGGAACTTCAAAGGATTAACACGGTGTTTTTCAGTGTATCTAACAGTGAAGAAGACCCAACGGTTGACGAGGTGCACAAAGAAGAGCCTTACTTTGCCGAACCTTTCGTCCCTAGAAAGTTTGTTAGAAATTCACTTTCACGAAGCAAACATGTTTTTTCTAAACATTTCTTGAATGGGAAAATATCCTGAACAGTAGGTAATTCGGTTCATACGCAGAATGGCAACTTTTAATCGCCAAAAATTTTTCGAAACAGAATCTTATATAATGCGATGGCTGGCTTCTAAGGGTTTCAGGAGTACAAGGAAGAAGAGGAAGCATAAAACAGAAACGGGTCCAAACGGTCAAGTGTCTCAGCAAAACACACCTGCCCGATCGTCAATTGAATCATGAAGGTGGATTTAAAACCAGACACCACAGTTTAAACTTCATACATATCGTGTGCCAAATGAAGCTTTTAAAATACAAGTCGCAAAATCGCACAACAGAACGCATCGTGATAAACTATAATAATTGAAGGAACGCAATATCAATCAGATTCTTTACCTTTATGATATTCTCCATTGTCTCACCACCCATTGCGGTAAAGTGTAATTTGTGAAGTCCATCGTCTTGCAACAAATACATTGCAACAATTGGTTGACCGAAGTCACGCTCCCATATAATTTTACCTGAGATGAAAGTAAATGAAATCGTAAAATACTTGCAGAAAATGTCTTTTTTTTTTCAAAATTTCTAATATGGGGCGAACTATGGGGTAGTAACAGATCGTTTTACGAAGAATGAAATCACCGCCATACTAACCATCACGCTCTTCCCCGCAATTGTTTTCGATTCCTGGCCTCCGCCACAGCAATTTATGAAAGACCTGTCATTTTGGCAGTAATCGCCACGCACTTCACATTTATCGTTTTATTCGTAGGGGTACAACTTGACGCCGTCGAGAATTTGGGCGACTAATAGCAGGCGACGTGAAGAAGAGGCTCAGACAGCGTGCTCAGTGCTCCAGTGATCAATACGGCAAGAATGAGGTGTCTTTGAGGTAAACTGTGAGTTCCACACTTGGAATGAAAAGGCACGATGAGAAACATCCTTCCTGCCCAACTTACGCATTCGCGTTGCATTTCTAACCTCAGAATTCGCTCTTGATCTAGAACTCGTATTGCCATGCTTGGTGCTAATGATTTCATAAGGATTTCTCTAACACATTCGCGACCGTATACATCAGATGTGATTCACACGTGGAAAAGATGGCACAATGTACCGTCTGCCCCACAGTACCCAATTCTTTCTGAATGCTTGAATTGCCGCAAAAGACGATTTGCTATGCCTTCACTATTGCTACTGCTATTGCTTGCCATTTGTCTGTATTCACTTTGCAGCTTATCGAACACAGGTATTCTTATAGGTACGACCTAGAAAAAAAACCTATTTTCTATGCCTAATGATTACAAAGAACAACTCTCGGGCTAGTCCGTTTCATCGGCAACACTGAATTTAGAGACTTAGAGATGTCTTCATTTTAATGGGATGATAAATATGTTATTGGTGTAAATTTAGCACCATTGATACTCAAAATCACCAAAGTTTTTGCCTCTAAGAGAGCTAGATCTCCCCTTATTGCAAAAAATCCACTTTAGAACTTTTAATTTGCGCAATTTATATAGCTTTTCAGTATGAAAACACCATAACCCCATCGAAGAACCATTAAATAATTACTTTACGAGTATCTGCAACGAGGTAGAATAGACGAATGAACAATACTCCTATAACTCGTACATAATGCTGAGATATTTGCAAAACTCCGGGCCGCAGGTGTATGCGGTGGTGAACGAACGCGCGCTATTGTCCTTACCGGGGAGTAGCGGACTTTACCACCACACCATCCAGGTCACTATATTTCAATACTCCTATATTTCCATTCAAACACGATCATGCTGCTCCTATTCTTTTGCACCATTACTTGTCCTCTTTTCAACTTCTGCCACATGACTTACTTTTAAAGTCTTTTGCCACTCTTCATGCATGTGCCCACGAAAAATTTCCTCTGAAGTAATCTTCCAGATAGCAAGATGAGATACTTGTGCGCCAATTATCGGTATCCATGTGTCTTCCATAATCCAAGAGACCATCTATGAAAACCACCACTGATTTAGCCATACTGCTGTTTACGGAAAGATCTTTATCAACATATACCATAAATCTGCATGTTCAGCTCTATATTTTGAATACTTTGAATAACTTAATTCCATGCTTGCACCTCTGATTTGGAATATACTAGCGAATTGCGACTCCTGCACTAAGCGACGCGATGGATTCGTCTATACCACAGCAAGCGCTCCGATCTACCAGAAGTGAGCCAACAGATTCTCAAATATGTACCTTGAAACGATATCACCAGTAATTCCTTCTCAATAGAACAGGCTGTTACTCCGGTTATTTCTCAACGGTGGCAATTCTCCACATAAAATGAAGCACAGTCGCGAATGTGTTAACAAGTGATAAGTTGTATTATATTATTCGTATGACAAATGGTTTCGCCACATAACTGACAGCAAATGAAAAGGTTGTAGGTATCCAATACTGTACAGAACCGTCACTTTGAACTCCGCTTCAAATCATCAACAAATGTGTTCATGTCAACTCACTTGTCCTTTTTGCCATAAGCAGCAAAAAAGCAGTTTTTGTGATATAAAGTATTGTTATATTTAATACTTATTTCACTTTGTTCGATAAAAGGATGAGTCCATTTCGGACAAACTAAGGTGTTCTGTGCACGCTCAAAGCATGAAGTAAACAGCCTACTCTATTATGAGTGGTGAGTTGTTTAACGATGTAAGATTTTTCTCAAATAGGGTAAACATTTAGACGCAACGTCTCCAACTCTTAATCATCGCACTTCTTTAAGGAAAAAAAAACTAGTAAACATCTATATTGACTTTCTCTGTATTGATGTATGTATGTACGTCAGACACTATCCCGTACATTTAAGAGATTGTTAGGTCTCTCTGAACTTAATGTCCCGTTTCAAATTGCATTTTTAAAGTCGCATCTCTCAACTTAGGATGAGCTCCATTAATTGAGATAACCACTGGAATCTACATTTTGGGAACAAGAAACAATATTGTTTATATGAGTTCCAAAAAATTCTGGATTATTGGGGACGATGAAGTCGTTAAACGCAGTTTCTACATTTGCTCGGTTTCTGAAGCGTTTCTCCACATGAAATTATTGACATACTTGAAAAAGCGGTGGTCGGTAGCCGAGAGGTCTGGTAAGCATGGTCAATGAGGCGGAGTAGCCTCAGTAACCGAGCTTTTCCAACTTCTGCAAATTGGGTAGTGCGAAGTACGGTCGCACATTACAGAGAAGGACTGGTTCCTTTCTGTTGACCAATGCGGGAGGACGCGGCCGTTGGCACTTCCTCAATTTGCTGGACATAGTTCTCTGTCGCAATTGTTTCAACTAGTAATTCCCAAGACCGACTTTCTGTTAACCTCGGCATTAATTGATAATTCAATGTTTCAACTAGATTCAGAAAGCGATCATGGATTAAACCAAACGGTCAGCGTAACTTTTTTTGATGCATTTTCGGCTTTGGAAGTGCCGCGGAGCTTGGTCGCGGTTCAACTTCAGAGCTCGCAGCTTTCCATAGAAGATTCATTTCTCGGCGCAAATCACAATAGGATCATGAAACGGGTCGTTCTGGTTGCACAGAAGAAGCGTCGACAATACCGCGAAACAGTGTCCTCTAATACCCTTCAAGTGCTCAAAAATGGTTGAAATGTTTACAACAATGCATTCCTCAAGTTCTCGAACAGTCTGCATTTCCTCGCTTATACGGAATGCTTCAATTCGTCGTCACTAGCACAGATGTCTCGGCGACCTAACTCAACCCTAACGTCAAATTCGCCAGGATGAAATTTTCCAAAGCAACGTTGAACTATGCGTTCGATAACACTTCCTTAGCTCTATATTCCACAAATGTTTCGAGATGTTTGGCTGCACTAACTCCAAGTTTTAACTCGTGAAAGGAGGTTTGTTGAAATTTCTGTTTTGAAATCTGAAATTCTAACTTTTGAAATTTTTCAGAAACACAACTTATACTATAATTCAATTACACAGAGCAAAAATGAATAAAATGAGCTTTTAAATAGTATATAATGGTATCGCGCTGGAAGGAAAAACTATTCCTAAAACATAAACAAGAAAAAGAAAATCACAAATAGGACATTAACTGCGGAATCGCCTAATAACTTCGTGGTAGGTGGAAAAATATGGACGTAAGATAAACAAATGGAGGTGAAACAAACAAAAATACGAAGGTAAAACTATGCGCCACATGAATAGATGCAAAAACAGTTTAAGTATTAATAAGCCTAGCACAGTCACGAGCGCATCGTATTGAAAGACCATGAAAAGTTCTTTTTTATCATAAGATTTCCACTTTATAATGAAATGTACCTGGGAAAAAAACGTAGCTTGCATAGAAAATATGACAACTGGAACCTAATACAAAAACTGTGGTTGCAAAAGATATTCGGGCTTGCTGCCACAATTCGGAAAGGGTAACCAATATCCCTTAAATTAACTACGGCATTGTATGCTAAACAACTAAATACATTGGAGGCCAAGATTAAATTACGCTCGCCTCGATGCGACAACGACAGACGTGAGCTTCCCTCTGAATTCTCGAGTGTCTGAGAACATTTACGGAAAATATTTCTTTGGTTGAGTTTCATATGTTCATTCAACCCTGCCTTACACTCAGTTTTCCGGTCACCAACTTTCTTACGTATTTTTACCATCTCGTCTCCACTACTCTACACAGAGTCGAAAGACTGGAGATTTTCGGAAATTTTGGATAATCCAATAAAGAAATGGCTTATAGATTAGAAATACTCACAAGAAGAACCAAGATAACTAAAGGCCTGACGCTTGCAATATAATAAAGTTCTCAAACACAATAAAACAGCGATGTCTGAAGTATGGTAATAATTTTAACCCATTGGAATATATTACAACGCAAAGGAAATCTTGTATAAACCATTCAACTGAAGAGCATCAGTGAGAAGCTTCAAAGGAGTTTAAAAAGATTTGTGTTTAAAAGATTTGACATTTTCTCCATTGAAAGGAATACGAAATAAAGGATGCACAAATCAAAACGTTTACCTGTTGGGTCAACAGCAAG